TTAATAAATTTTCATATAAAATTGATGTAATAAATCTTCGCGAAAAAATTATTCAATATTTATTTCACCCCCCTGTATTTAGAAATTAGATAATAATATTAAAATTAAAGATGATTACCGTAATTAAAAAATAGCGCAATTGAGTTATAACTTATAGTATAATTAAATTTCCTTATAGCATAATTAAGTTATAACTTAATTGAAATTTGAAAATAATTATGAGAATTATTTTTAATTGAAGTAGATAAATTTGGTATTAATGATAATTATTTGAAAATAAAAAATAAAGATAATTCTAAAAGATCAGAATTAGTTCAAGAATTATTTACAAATTATTAATCTTATATTATAAATAAAAAAAAACTTAAAAGAAAATTTGTTTTATAATATTTTATTTAAAATATTTATTTATTATATTTTGAATAGTATTTATATTTACAATATTCAAATAAAAAATTATTCTTTTTGTTTGATATTCTTATATATATCTTTAAGTAATTTATCTAATTCTTTTAATATATTAATTATTTCTTTTCTTGTTTTATTAGATTCACTCATCATTTTTTCCTTTCATTTTCTATCTTCTTTATATTATTTCCTTTCTTCTTCAATTTTTTGTTTAATAATTTCATTTATATCATTTTTATTATTATTAACTTAACTGGTTTAACACTATTACTTGTATTATCATTATTCTCTTTTTTATTAGTAATATTAATTGAATCAATAGTAGCATGTAGTTTTACTGATAGATCATTTTTTAAGATTTTACACATTTCTTCTGCATATTCAAAATTTGATGATGTTGCTTCAATTTAATTTTCTACCATAATTGAATCTTTATATTGTTAAACTAAAATATTCTAATATTTCTATAAAGTAAATTTTTAAATTAATAAATTAATTAATAAACCATTTTTAATAAAAGGTAAATTTATTATTTAAAATTACAATATCTAAATTGTTTTTTTATTTCTAAATAAATAGATTTTACAATATTTAACAGCTATATTATTTCAAATTTATCTTTTTGTACTATTTAGTTTTTGCTTTTTAAATTCTGAATAATGAATAGCTATTAATTTAATTAAATGGTATATTTCTTGAAAAGTCTAATTAATTCTTTTAGGAGTTTTAGATAAAATATCATTTTTACCACTTGATTATTATAAAGGTTTTGAAGTATCTTGTTTAATTTTATGAATAGGATTAATAGAATCAATATAAAAGCTTTTTTTTAACTTAAAAAAAGCTTTATTACAAAAAGTTTGATTTGAATAAAAATTATAAGGAATTCTACATGTAATATGTTACCATCTAGCATATTTTTAGGAAAGTAAGATATAGGCAAAAAATTAAGAGAAGGATAAGTGTAGTTTAGTTTTAAATTTAGTTATAAAGGTTTATTTGAATCTTTATTTAATTTAAAACTATTTTATTTCAAAAAGGTGTATTATTATTATTTATATAAAAATTCATTTTATTTGACATTAATGAATCAACAAAAAAAAAAAAATTAGAAATGCAAAAATAAATTTTGAAAAATTGATAAAAAAATTGAAATATAGCTAAATGATGACTGCTTAGAATATATTTTAAATGATTTTATATATAATTGTGATATATATAAAATAAAGTTTAACAAGAAAATACCTTAATATACTGAATCTATCAAGAATATTAATTAGCAACATTTTGGATTTGACGAATAATTACAAATAGTTAGATTAAATAAGTTAATACTAATATATAATAAGTATAGAAAACTTTTTATAACTAAATTTAGGGAATAAATTGTTACTAGTTATATAGTACAGAATGAAACTATTAAGGATGCTTTATTTATTAAAGCCTAAGTAAAAGGATACTCTGTAAATGCTTTAGTTAATACTAGATCTATAAAAAGTATTATTACTCAATAGTATCTTAGAAAAATCAATAGAAAAATTAACGAACCTGCAAAAATAAAATTATGAAATTAGATAAAAAATTATAATACTCTTAAGAATAATTAAGAATAGAATATTTTGTCTTATATGATCATCATATAAAAAAACGTTCAAAAAAAAATATTTTGTAATACCAATTTTCTATATAACATGAACTTTTTGTAATACTTAACATAAATGGATAAAATTCATATGGTTAGAAAGCCACAGTCTTGAACTTTTATTTTTTAACTTAAAATATTTTGTTGCTTAAACTTATTTTTGAAAAACCTTTCAATGAAGTTTCAAAAAGGTTGTGAATGTCTAATTGTTTTTAGTGAATGTAAAATAAAGAATATTATTAGCTTTCACCTTTTTGATTTAGTTTTAAGTCAACTCTTTATATGAGTCATTAATGACAGCGTAACGTATTCTAAATTATAAAAATATATATATTTTATTCTTTTAAAATATGGTATTTATAATATATATATTTTTTTTACAGTTGTCTTCAAAAGCGAAGCCATATTTTCTAATTTTCTGCCATTATTAGCACATTTGCATCATCTTCAACAATCCCAATTATATGAATATTTATTTGCATTATATTTCCATTTGGATTTGACCGATATAAAATTTATCATTACCTTTACAACTCCACGTATTATAAGCCAATCTAGTAAGTGCTGAGCATCAGCTTTTGTTCAAACATATTTTTCTTGCTTCTCATTATAAATTTTTATTGAGGTTAGTTCTTCATTATCACATTTAAGATGACAATAAATCTGTATAATATCTTTGATGAAATTATTTTTCCAGTTTCATGCAACTTGTTCATTACTTCTTTAACTACCTCTACTATTCTAATAGTATCAGATTTTACATTAATTTTGCACACTGATTCAGCTTGTACTTGTGTGCAGTTATTATAACGTCTACATGGAGGATTTATAATATCACCATTTCATGCAAAGTATTTTGCAAGCATATATTCCTTACAGATATATTGTTCTTCACAGAAATGAATAACTTCAAATATTTTTTCACGTGCTCTAGCCAGGTATGCTTGCCTTTTATTTGCTTCAAAGCTATTATTATTCATGTTTTCAATTACTCTACAAAATATATTATATTTAATTAACTTATACTAATAGCTTTATACTTTTTATAAAATTAAATACTTACAATTCTCTACCTTGCGTTATAATTATATAGTTAATGCAAATATCATGGCAGCTATAAAAAATTACAGACTTTGCAGGATTATGATCTCTTTCTGCTCTTCCAGTTTCTTATATAAAATTACCTATTTTGAAAAAGTGTAATTATATTTTATGATTCAATTTTCTTTTAATATAATAATAAATTAATAATTCTTTACCTGTATTTAATAAAAAAGCATAGTGTATCACTAATCGAACTTTTTTATCATTAAGACTCATACCAAAAGCATTGATTACAATTATAAGCTGAATTGTATTATCTTTCCATAATTTCAACTTCTTCTTTTTCTCTTCGCCATCCAAAGAACTATAGTATACAGCCATCATTAATTTAAGATCTGATTTTCCGTAAAGTTGCTCATAAATATCATTATATGCTCGTACTGTTAGGCAGTAAACAATACATTTTCTTTCTTCTAATTCCTTTAGTAGTTTGATAATTTTCCCAATTGTTTTTTCTTTTATACTTTTAGAATGTACTTCCATTGTAAGTTCTAGACGTGAAAAAGATATTCCTCAAATAAAAACTGTATTATTTAAAGTAAGATAAAGATTTTCCAAAATCATACGGGTATCAGATTTCTTACAAGTTCCTGTAAGCATCATAATTGGGTTGCCTGAAAATAAAGTAGAGATTTTCTTTAATTAGTTCCATGATTCTCTATATAAGAAAATTTCAAATTGTTAATATATTAAAAGAGTTTTTAATTTCAAATTGAATTAAATACTTACCTAAAATAGTTACATTCTACAATGCAATGTACTTCATCTATTACAAAAGATACAGGTGCATATTTGGCAAAATTTAGGAGCATTGCGGTAAAGGATTTATTGCAAATAAAGCTTTCTGCAGTTATATATAAAAGTTTGATTAGTCTAATAGCGATCTCAGAAAAGACTTTTTCAAAATACTGTGAAGATTGATACTTTCTCGCATAAATGCTAGCGCATCCAATTCTAGTAGCAATTGTTTCAATCTATAAAAAATCAGGTAATGGTTAATTATAATTCTTTTGTTTAAATAATTATCACTCTTAACTTACCACTTGGTCATCAATTAGAGATACCAATGGGCTTATTACAATAATTAAACCTTCACGCAGAATTGCAGAAATCTAATAATATATTATTTTTCCTGTACCTGTACGCATTGAAACAAAAGTATGTTTTCCACTAATATATGCTAATATTACTGCCTCTTATACATTTTGAAACTCTTGATATCTAAATATATTCAAAGTACATTATATAAGGTAGGCGGATTTGTTTCTGAGTTTTATAAAGATGGTATATATTGCTTATTTGGAAATTCCTAATGCAATTCGAATTTAAGACAAAAATCATGATATCTGCATAATCCTAATGGAGAATACTTTGGAAAAGCTTCACAAGTCATGCATTTTTAGATTTTTTCAAAGTCAAGTATATATTTGGCAAATGTAGGTTCAAATTTTTTAGCTTTGATTTTTTCTTGTACACTACGCCCATAAGGTATGAAGTCCTAAAAAAAGTAGAATATTATTAATATTATTATTTACTTAATCAATTTTAAATTATTTTATACTTACCTTATTCCAATCAAATGTTTCTAAACTACTTCTTTGTTTTTGAATTTTTTTTTCACATTCTTTATTTCGCTGATCAATGGTATTAAAATTTCTTTGATTTTGTTTTTCTCATTCTTCAGCGATCTTATAAATATTTTTCTTATCTATTTCAGAAAATTTTTTAAGATTACAAGCTGATCAAGTAATTTTCAGCATATTTAATAATCTATTATTATATTGAAGAATAGCAAGAGTATGACGTGTACAGTAAATTTTCTAATAATCAATTTTTTTATTCAAAAAGCATAGTTTAACTCGATTAAATACTTCATTATATGATGTTCTGATATGTGTAATCAAACTCTGTTTTGTAGGTATATAGAAGCATTCTTAAGAAATTTGCGAAAATTTTCCTTTTGATCAGTTGTATATTCCTTTAAATGTGATACATTTAATTAAACGTCAGGATTTTTTTTTCTCCAGCATACTTCATCCTAATAAAGACTATGATCATCTGAAAGGTGAGCGACAAGTCTGTCAATATGTACTTTTTCTAATTCAGCATCCAATATGGTAATCTTATTCTCATCAAGTTTTCGTTCACTTGCTGCATATATACATGAATTATAATAGGTTATGATTGTATTTTTATAATCTTTCCACATAGAATTTTTGACTATTATTTTAGATCAAACGAAAATTAGAATCAAAATTTTATAATTACAACTACAAATTTTTTAATCATTTATTTTATTTGTTAATTTAATTTATTTAAAAAAGCTTTATTTATAATAAGTAATTATAAATCTTTTAATCATTTATTATATTTTTTAATTTATTTATTTAAGAAAGCTTTATTTTATAATAAATAATTACAAATTTTTTAATAGTTTATTATATTTTTTAATTTAATTTATTTAAAAAAAACTTTATTTTATAATAAGTAATTACAAAACTTATTTTACTAAAGATATGATTAAAATAACATTTAGCTTATAGTCCTCTTAAAATTTCAAAATTACAAATAATAAATAATCTAAAAGCATTAAAATTTTAATAGATTTAATAATCTTAAAACTTAACCCTTACTTTTTACTGATTTTTGCTCTGATATTTTTGCCGATATGTTTTAAATCTGCATATACTTTGTTCACATATGGAATATTATTTAAAGTCTTGTTTGAGTTTAAATCACCATCAACTCCTATATCCAAAAGTACTTCAGCTGCTTCTAATACAGGCACAATTTTTTTAATAATTCATAATAATATTGCATGCTCTATTTGCTATGATGTCTTTTTGTGATTCTCATGAAAACCTCATATTCTTAGCCATCCTTTCTCTTTACTTTACGTGATTTTTCTGCAATCGCATAAGCAATAATAAGTTTATGACTGTATCCTATTTGTAAATAAAATTCCATTTTAAATTCTACTTTATTTATTAACTAAAAAATCTTATTTTTACCTTCAAGACATTCTTGAAATATTAGTTCGCTACTAGTCTGATTTGCATTTTGACAATATGATCAGGAATAGTCAAAACTGGTAGGTAATATTCTTTTACCTTTTGTTTTAATTTGTGCAATAGCTTTAGCCAAAGCAATTTTTGCACTTGTTTCAACTTTATTAATTATATTTTCCAAGTATTCATTTTGTTTATTATGGTAATATCCTTTTGATGATTGTGCTATAATGCCTATCATAGAAAATATAGTTTGAAGTTGTTGCCTATTGATACCACCAATAAGTCCTGCACCTACTACAAGAGAAGAGAATTATGCATTAGGTGATTCATTACTATATTTCGCAATTCCTTGGCATATTTTGCATTTAATTTTAATTTGAAGATTATAACCAATTTTACAAACTTCCAGTTTTTTTTAGAAAGATCATGATTATGACATGTTAAACAAGATTGAGTATATATATTAGTAAGATACTGTTCAGTATCAACAAGAATCGTAGATCTAATATTTGTTTCTTCCATAGTTTTTTGCATCCAATTGTTTAAAAATTCTTGATCTTTTTTTTTATGTAACTTATATTTCAAGTTTTTAATATATGTATTGTTGGCTTCAGCTTGCTCAATTCATTTACATAATGTGTCACCCATTTTTTTCAATGATTCATATTCAACTGCAAGTACTAAAGTTGCTTCTGGAAATAAATGCATGCCCAGTTCTTTGATTTTAATACCTTAACAAATTATTGGCAATTGAGAGATCACTGATGAAGTTTTTAGTAGATTTTCACCCTTTTTTTTTGCATGGTAGTAGTCAATTTTGTGATTTTATTTTGAGTTTTGGTTAATATAGGAGGAGTATCAAAAATTTTTGGATAAATTGAATTAACTCTAGCTTGTAAATTATAAATAATATTAGGATCACGCAATCCAAGAATATCAGGAATGGATATTTCTTCTGATATCTTCATATATTTTTTTATACTTGCAAAAAAATCTGAATTTATTTCATAATGTATCATTTGCGACATTGCTATATCTTCATAAAATTTTCAACTATATACAAGACATTCTTCATTATTACTTTGAATTTCTAAACATACATATTGATCTCCAAACTTTTCAATTATATAATAGCTAGGAAGTATAGGAACCCACGGAGAAGTTGATATATTTTCTTTTTTTGTAATAGCATAATAATATGGATTGGAGGAATAATCCTTATTTGTTTGTAATTTTGAATGAATTGTAAGAACTTTGAGTGGTTTGGATGTATCATAAAGCATATATCTACCATTTGCTTTTATAAATCTTTCTAGAGCATAATTATGATTTTGCATAAATTGTATCCAATCTGGAATTCTAAAATAATTTGAAAATAAAAAAAAAATATTATAAAACAGTCAAAAATTTTTATTAAATAAGTAATCTTATATATTACTTTTCTTTTTATTTGCCTTTTGCCGTCATTTAAATTCAAATATATGGTATTTTTTAACATACACAAAGGTAAAAAAAAAAATTTAGTTATGATATGTATATCAGATATATCAGTAATTTATTTAGCCAAGCCAATTATTTTTTATTTGTGCTGATCACGTATCAACTCATATTTGAGTTGATAAACAAATCTGAGTTTTTGAAACTATGAAATAATGGATATTTATTATATTAAAAATTCAATATGAGAATGACTCTATCTTTAAAGAAATTGCAGTAGATATTAATAGAATAATAATCAATAAAGACATGCTGATCAAATTTTTTATAACTAAAATATTTCAATATTTGATTAGTTATTTATATTATTTGTATAATATTTGCTTTTACAATCTTTGAACTAATGCTCAAATTTTTCATAATTAAAGTATTTTTGTAATTATTACTATTGTTATAGTTGCTATTATTATTATTATTACTGTTATTACTATTATTGTCTGATATCTATCATAATAGTCTGTAATCTTTCATTTAATTTACAGTTAATAATGTCTTCAATGTCTAATTATTGTATAATATATATAGATTGCATCATAATATTTGCTTACATTAGTATTATCTTTTCTTATAATAATTGCATATAATTTAGTATTAGCGAATAGACTGATAGTTCTATTTTAATGGAATATGCTAATTTTACTGCTCTAACTTTTTCTATAGTTTGATCTATTATTGTTGATATTACTGTTTATACTGGTACTATAAATTCTAGTTATAATCCTTTAATGAATTTAGAACTCTATCTATTTTAGCTCATTTATATTATAGGTTGACTTTCTTTTACTGTTTTTTTATAGTTAAAGCGTATTTTTTAATAGTTTCACTAGCTTTTATTTTTATATCTAAGTTAGTATTTCTATTGATTTTATCAGAATATATTATAGAAATATTATTTAAATAATAGTATGAAAAAAGTATTAGGATTAATTCTGCTATTTTAATTAATAATATACTATCATTAAAATCATGTTAATGCAATTTTTGTTAAATAACTAGGAACTATTTTAACTATTTAAGTAATATTAATATGATTTGCTTTACAAACTTATTTAAAAACTTTAAGCTATTCTACTAGATTCTGATTTCCTCTTTTAAATATTGGTAAGTTTATTAGTTATTATTTTCTTATTTATTATCCTTGAAGCTATTCTACTAAATCTTATATAATTTGAAAGTAAGCATTATTATTATTTTTTCCTACTAGTGGTTGTGATGAAAATACAAATATTATTACTTATTGTACTAATTAATGGTAAACTACTTAGTATTGATTAGAAAGTTATTATATTAATTAGTTATAAATACCTCATATAAGGTTTAATAATGATATTATATTATTGAGCTACTGCTATTGACTATGAAATTCCTGTAATAGTTAACCTATCATGTTATTTTCTCTATTATTCAGATTGCTTTTAAACTAATGGCTACCCACAGGTTGCCAATTTACAGTTGTAAAACTAGAAGTTATAAATAGGTTATTATTTTAAAATAAGTCAAGCAGAACAAAAAAATTAAATATATGACTATATTAAATTACTTGAAAAAAAATTATATATATTATTAGACGTAAAAGAATTTTCTAATATTGATCTATTATTTATACTTCCTATTAATAATATTATTATTTATGAATTTAATAACTTTGATAATTGATTATTAGGTATTATTATGATTATTAACTACTAACATTTCTTATTCTAATAAGAAATGGAGATCTTCTACTATTAATTGTATTAAACATAACTTGTCAAAATATTTTACTTGGTATTCTTATTCTTTCTAACTTATTTGCATTATTAAAGAAAGATATTGTTTGCATAGTTTCATCATCATTATTAAAATATCTATATATAACACTTTACTTGTAATTAGAGGTATACGTATCATCCTCTTTTTTATCATATTATTTTCTATCTTTTAAATACAACTATCATATTTGTATATTATTATCCCTTCAAGTGTTTTGCAGGCAAATTTGCCTACAATTTTATTTAATAATTAAAATTATTTATAATAATTTTAAATATTTTTAAAATAATTTATTTAAAAATT